AAAACAACAACAGTTTGTAACCCTTTTTGTTTTATCCTGGATGAAAAAGATTTTAAGTATGTTGGCAGTCAGATGCTATATTAAAAGAGAAAATTGAAAATGATGGATAATGAATGATAAGTTTAATTCAAGGAGACTTATCACGGATTATTAATAATCACTACCTACTGGATGTTAGAACTTACAAGGATCCATCCAACCTACATGCTATGCATGAGGTGTTGGTGTTGGAATAAAGAATATAGCATGGTGTGTTGGAACAAAGAATTAGCATATTATGTTGGAATATAAGACTAATAACCCCTTGTGCGAATTTAAAATTTAATTTAGTCAATGAATGTCCAAATAGAATACATGGGTGTGTAGAAGGAGGTTGCGGATAGTAACTTTGTAACTGGATCGATCGACAAATTGTCTAGAGACATCGTACAATTCGTGATCGTTGGTAGTTCTTTGGGTTTGACGCAGTTAGTTCAAGAAGAGAAAATATGTGGAATGAGTGGTTAAAAGAGAACAATGAGAGAGAAGTAGTAATCATTTAGAAACTAGATAATGCACGCTTACGAGTAGGGTTTGTTAATGGGTCGGGTCAGGCCAGTTCGGTCTAAATTTTATGAGCTCGGGCTAGACCGGGCTTTTCCAAAATTTTAAGGTCCGAACCTAGCTCACTACTGGCCTTTTATAGGCCAAACGGGCCGGTCTGGATCACATGGGCCAAGCTAAAATGGCCTTATTACTTAAAAAACAGAGTTCGGGCCAAAGTGAGTAGTGACTTTTTATTTTGAGTATATTATCTAAATTGGGATCTAAAATGGGCTCTCAAGTTGGGCCTATGCGGGCCCGACCAAGCCTTCTTGGGTTCAAATGGTCGGGCCTCTAGGGCGGGCCTCAAACAACATAGCCCTTTATATTAAAGGTTGAGTTGAGCCGACTTGAACCCCCAAAATACGCCTATTTATAAAAATGCCCTTTGGTTGTAGACTGTCGTATCCAACTTTAGGGCTAATGTTGGCCAAATGCTTTTGGTTGGAGATGACCTAATGTATTGTTTGAACATGATTGCCATGAGAGAAAAGTGTTCACTAAAAATTTTCAGAGAGAATTAATGTAGGGCAAGGAAGTAAATTGATGTTGATACTACGCATTCGAGCTAGCTCGAATGGTGACTAGACATTATTATTTTTGTAACAAATATTTTTATGGGAAATTTTATTTGGATACATTTGTTTTATTTCTACACCCAATCAAACAATTTTGTGCAATAAATCCCCATATTTACCTTAAATAATTAAAAAAAAAATAGACTCGTATTTTTATCTCTACACTGAATAACCTTAAACACACCACATCAATGCACGTCTCCATTATTTTCAGTGAACCCAAACGTCGACAAAAAATTTCCATGAGTTTGTCAAGAACTGATATCTTCATTCATTCATTTCCTTCTCTTTCTCTTCCTCTCTTTTCTCATACCTTGAAAAGAATACGAACCCCCTTTCTCTCTTTTCCGATTGATTGAATCTAAGTTCGTATAAGGAAACAAAAAAAGAGAAAAGAGAGCATTAATGGTCATCGGAACTTCGATTGCACTTGTCGAAGAAAATAGAGAGGTGCTGTGGTGAAAACCTCTTTTCCCCTCTATTTTCCTCGATGGTGGCTATGGCCAACCTACAAATCTATTTTTGTTCTAAAATCTTTTTATTTATTTAATGGCAAAGTTGAAATTCTATTAAAAATATTTTTTAAATTAGGTGCAAAAATAAAACAATGGGTTGAACTAAAATTTCCTTTATTTTAATCTCTTCAAAAACAATATTTGAGCTTCATGATCTTCCCCTACGATGAAAAAAAAAAAAAAAAAATCACGTATCTCATTTGTCACTGCTTACGACATTATTGTTCTATCATTTATTATTATATATATCTAATTGTTCTGTGGATTGTATGTATGCATAATTTTCAGTACTAGCATGGGGAAATTTTTTTTATCTATATTTTTTAAAAGTTTGTTCAACTACGGAATTATGAGCTATATGTTAGTTGCCTAAATAGTCATGAGAATTTTTTTTTCTTACAAAAACAACGAATATTCAAGTAAGAAATGGACGGTCCAACGCAATTTTCTCCAATGAAAGTGGAAGGAAATGTATTTTTGTGATATGAATTATGAAGTAAGCAATGACGTCTCCATCAAAGAACACAGTAGTAAGCAGTGACGTTTTACAGTCGATCAGAGGACGTTTACCACTGCGGGGTTGGTAACATTATTCGTAATTCTCGTTAGGGCTAACTCTTTTTTTTGAATAAAAAAATCGTTTACCAAAACTGAAAATAATTTAAAAACCAAAACGACGAGAAATTTTTTCAGGTCCATGTCACATATGCGCTGACCTAGAATTCCACTAACGAACATTTGACATCTGTATATTTTATTCTTTTAAATTTAAAAACTGACAATTATTTTAAAATAAACTCAAAATGACATCAGAGGCTGCCGAGCATGACGACGCCGAACCACCCGCACCCACCATCACCGGTCGGTGATTTTTCCTTTCCCCTCTCTCTTCCGCTCTTACCTTGCATGGAGCCCAGAGATTGGCGGCGGCGACTCCAACTCAGATCTGCTGTCGTCAATCTCGATCTATCAACCGGAGTTCGCCGACATCTTTTTTGTTCTTACTCTGGAGCAGGAAAGAGAAGAAATAAAAAGAGGAACAGAGAGAGAAAGAAATAGATAGGGAGAGAGGTGATGCGGAAGGGCAGGATGGGTGGACCGGTGGAGCCGTGGAGGGATGAGGGATGGGGTATGGGGGATGGGGATGGGCGATGGAGAAGTGCGTATTTTCGATTTGCAGGAAAGCGCTGGAGCTCACCACGCAACTTCAAATTTTTTTTTTAATTATTTAATTATTTTGTGAAATGAATATAAGGGTAAAATGGGTATTTTAGTGTAACTTAAGAAGTAGAAGGATAGGTGCCAGATGCTTATTTGTAGGGAACTCCAAGTCAGCATGTGTGACATGTACTTGAAAAAATTTCTTTAAAACACTTAGTGTATTATTTATGTTCTCGTCATAATTAAAAAAAAATTTCAAAATGACGCGTATGCTTCAAGTTCCAATGCCAACGGACATGGATGATTGCTTAAATATTTGCAAAAGCTGGCAAAATATTGAGGTAGAAGGAATTAATTTATGGCTGAAATTATTAGTTTTCGTAGCAAAATTACATGTAGTGTAAGAGAAAATGTAAGAAACTTGTACTGGAAATTGTACATTCTTTTTTCTATCACATAGGATTAGTGTTTCACTGATTTTGATCTGGCCTCGCATCATCACGTTCTGAAAGCATTTTATCATGGAAGCCCCACCAGCAAGCAAGCACCACAAAGAATCTCCCGGAGCTTAGGTCATCTCCAATGAAGAGCTAGATGCCATATTTAGTAATAAAATTGATAAAATCTGTCTCTAACCAAAGGGAAAAGGAAATCAACTTAAAAGAATCAGACTAAGTTTGGCATGTAGTCTCATGGCAGGCTAAGTTTGATCTAAAAAAGTAATAAAATATAGCCCTCATGGTTGGAGATGAAATTTTTTGTCTTTAACGTCATCTTTATATATTAATTTTTAGAGAGCTACGTTTAACCTTCGTGATTAGAGACGACCTTATTAATAAGGGGATGACATTGTAGCTGGTGCTAAGTGATGACATAATTAATTGGAAAAAAAAAAAAGAAAAAAAAATATACCGATTAATCGTGCTTGTGCTATTTTGTTGAAAGATTACATTTATAATGGAACTCTCAGAGTCTCACTCCTCATCATTTTAGAAATTGATCAAATCTAGCTAGCTGGGATATTAAGCGACAGATTCATACCACGATGAAAGAATTATTTCATCAAATTAATTTGTTCATTAACTGCATAATGACAGGAGACGGTGAGGATGATAAGTCTTGGAATTAGCATGTTTGATTCAATAAACAATCCTGTAGTTTCACCTCTTAATTAATTAAGCAAATGATCATTGATTTTTGTTTGCTGTGTAAGGAAACTCCTGCAGATCTGATCTGGGGCAGTTTCTTTTCGTTTTGATCGTAAACTCTATTACTTAAATCTGTGCAATCGGTGGCACATAATTTTGAGTTCTTGGACAGTTCAATATGCACGCTAATTAAAGAAACAAGGCTTCTTACTCTACTGTCCTTGCTTGCAAATCACAATGTTCTGCTGTATCTCTTAACTGTAAATCAGAGTATTCTTAAAGAATACAAGATTCTTATATCGGAAGACAATATAAATTACAATATGCAATGAATAGTTAAACACCAAAAGATACTGTGGCAAAAATTTCACACACGGTAAAATGTAAATTACGTATCAAATTGGCATAAGTGTAAGACTAAAGTTTTTTCTTTTCTTTTTAAGACTAATTTTTTTTTTATTAGGAAATGTTGCATTATTATTTTTATATACATGCTTCAAATATAATATGTATCAGTTAGTGTTACGATCTAGTTATATTCTTCTTAACTTATAAATGAGAAATATTAGATTCAAAGTTTCAAATCTCTCGTATATATAACGAGTTTGATAAAGTAAATTATTCTCCCACCTTTTATTTTTTATTTTTTATTTTATAATAATTATATCGTTGCATTATAAAAGAATAAAATATAAGTCCAAAGTCTCACTTCTAGTTTGAAGTTCGTATAAATATTATGTATCAAACTCCCATACCCACCGAAGGGAATGAGATAGCTGGTATGACAGATGCGTTTGGTCATCTCTGTGTCCGTTCATAAACCCTGAAAGCCATTTCAATTAATATCTCAGTTATTCAGCTCTGAAGTCCACGAAATACAATTTTATTTTGCATGTAAGTGTGGGAAAGCTTGGTGGGTTGTGTTTGGAATTTGATTTTATATGATAAGAAATTAGTGCAGTAGTTGAAGTGAAGGGACAATGAGCAATCCTGGGAGTGGACGTAGCAGCTTTGACATGTGGAAAAACACTTCCATGGAAGTTTTCTCCATGTCTTCTCGTCACGAAGAAGATGATGAAGAGTCTCTGACATGGGCTGCTATCGAGAGACTGCCTACGTATTTACGCACGCGGAGAGGTCTGCTTGCGGAAGAGGAGGGCAAAGCTAGAGAGATTGATGTGACGAATCTGGGATTACTAGAAAGGAAGAACTTGTTGGAGAGACTGGTGAAGATTGCTGAGGAAGATAATGAGAAGTTCTTGTTGAAGCTCAAGGATCGCATGAACAGGTATATCAATTCGACTTTTTCTCTCTTTTTTAGAAGAAAATATTCTGAACTACAATAACTTAACAGTTTATAGAGAAAATCATTTGAACTGAGTGCAAGGGTTAAATACCGACCAACTGGTTTAACTTACATTTGCATTTGACTTTTTCTTTTTCATTAACTTGTTCATGAATTGGTTGAGAATTTTGTGTTGGAGAATATGATCTTACATCGGTCCCATGCAAAATAATTTACAAATAAAACATGGGAGCTCCCACAACTAATAACACCGAGACCTTTTTGTTTTAAACACCTAGTAATAAATGATTAAGTTGGAACAATATCGGTGATATTGGTGGAGCGTATAGAGATCATTTTGTGTTCAGTATGTTTGGAAAAATAGTTCGTCATTTAGTATTTCTTGAACTGGTGTGTCGATATTACATTTAAATTTTTTTGGGGACCCCTGTGGGCGGTTGCACCTGGGACCCTTGCTGAATGGCCCTAGAAGAAACTCATAACTTATTTGGAGCTGGTTTTCTCTGTTTTCCAAAATTTACACTCAGAGTTGGACTTGAATATCCGACAACTGAAGTCCGGTTCGAGCATTTAAATGTTGAAGCAGAGACTTATGTTGGCGGTAGGGCATTGCCTACAATGTTCAACTTCTCCATTAATATGTTAGAGGTAATTCAACTTTTGAATCAAACATTTATATTCGTTTTTTTTATTTACAAATTTGTGCAGTTTGATTTTGTACGTAGCAATTCAACTTTCTCTTGTGTATCACATTTTTTTTTTCCTCTCTGAAGTTGTTGTTGAATTATCTCCATATTCTTCCAAGTCGAAAGCAACAATTACCAATCCTCAATGATGTTAGTGGAATTATCAAGCCAAAAAGGTAATTAATTAGGCAATATTACTGATGCAAATATTTAACTTACGGTAGTTCTCAAATTTATGGTCTAATTTGCGCAGAATGACACTGCTTTTAGGCCCCCCGGGCTCTGGAAAGACCACATTACTATTGGCACTGGCCGGAAAACTTGGTAAAGATCTAAAAGTAAGCATATTACATTTACTTCTATCTAATCAACTTACCGTACAGCGTCCACTTTTGTGTTACGGCTTCATGTAATTGTTTGTAATAACTTGTAGCTTTCGGGGAGAGTTACATACAACGGACATGGGATGGAAGAGTTTATACCAGAGAGAACATCAGCTTATATTAGTCAACATGATCTACACATACCGGAATTGACAGTGAGAGAAACGATGGCTTTTTCAGCAAGATGTCAAGGGGTCGGGCCACGTTATGGTCAGTTAAAATACAGTGAAATTTTACATGTCTAACTTATTAATTAGTTTGAAGTATAGTTCATGAAAATCAAAGTTCATTTGCGTTGGAAACACTTTCAGAAGTGCTGGTAGAATTATCAAGGAGAGAGAAGGCCGAAAACATTAAGCCGGATCCTGATCTTGATGTTTACATGAAGGTATGAGAAACGGAAGAGTACTGGAGGAAAGAAAATTTTAGACATACTACTTTCCTTGTAAATGTTTCTCCTTATAATTCATTTATATCAGCAATTACGCACCTATTCTTAAAAAAGAAAATTTATTTTTCGGTGTTGCTTGTATTTTACAGGCAGCAGCACTGGAAGGACAGGAAACCAATGTAGTTACAGATTACATAATCAAGGTACCCACCATTCGTCTACATTAATGCATCGTGAAAAAATTACCACTCAATGACCGCATGATGTAAGAAGTACAAATCGACTGGTTGCATCATACGGTCATAAAAATGTGGTCTCTTTACTCTATTCCTTCTGTTTTTGCTAATCAAGTTTTGCAGGTTCTGGGGCTCGACATTTGTGCTGACACAATGGTAGGGGATCACATGAGACGAGGTATCTCTGGTGGACAAAGAAAGAGACTCACCACAGGTAGGTTTGTAGTTCTAGAAGAGACCACAAATTCGTCCCTATCAATTTCTAAATCCTGAAACTGCAGGGGAGATGCTGGTTGGACCAGCAAAAGCACTTTTCATGGATGAAATATCTACCGGCTTGGACAGTTCGACTACATATCACATAGTAAATTCACTCAGACAATCCATCCACATCCTCAATGGAACTGCTCTAATCTCTCTCTTGCAGCCAGCACCAGAAACTTATGATCTCTTTGATGACATAATTCTCCTCTCAGATGGCCACATTGTGTATCAAGGCCCTCGTGAGAATGTGCTTGAATTCTTTGAACACATGGGATTCAAATGTCCAGAGAGGAAAGGAGTTGCTGATTTCCTACAAGAAGTAAGTTAGTCGTACTATGACATATCTTCCCGTTTACTTATTTAATTTCTGCAGGAAGATCAGACTTGATAATTACAACTTTTTTTTTGTTGTGTTTATTATAGGTGACATCAAGGAAAGATCAAGAGCAATACTGGGCTCAGAAAGAGAAGCCTTATAGCTTTGTAACTTCCGATGAATTTGCTGAAGCATTGCAGTCATTTCACATCGGTAGAGAACTTGGTGATGAGCTTGCCATTCCGTTTGACAAGTCTAAAGGCAACCCTGCATCTTTAACAACTAAGAAGTATGGAGTTAGCAAGAAGGAACTTTACAAAGCTTGTATGTCTAGACAAATTTTACTTATGAAGAGGAATTCGTTTATCTACATTTTCAAAATGATCCAAGTAAGTAGAGTATGAGCATGTGTTGGACATTCACTTTAGACTAAGCCTAAAAATCACAATGTGAATTCTCGTATTGCTTTAGAAGAACAGCTGGAATTCAAAATATGACTTATCATATTGCTTTTAAAAAAAATCGTTCGTAATTCTATAAATGCCAAGTGAAAATTTGGATTGTTAACCTGCAATCAGCTAATTTGAACTCTGGTTTTGATTTTGCTTTCAGTTTAGTTTAATGGCTTTGGTAACAATGACATTATTCTTACGTACTGAGATGCACCGAGGTAGTGTGGAAGATGGTGGGATTTACATGGGATCTTTGTTTTTCACAATGCTGATCATTATGTTCAATGGGTACTCAGAACTTGCTATGACTGTAATGAGACTTCCTGTGTATTTCAAGCAAAGGGATCTTCTGTTCTTTCCTGCTTGGGCATATGCTTTACCGAATTGTCTGATAAGGATCCCTTTGACCATTGTGGAGGTTTCTATTTGGGTGACCGTTACTTACTACGTTATAGGCTATGATCCGAGCATTGGAAGGTGAAAAACATAACATAGTAGAAATTAGTTTTAAAATTTTGGCCTCGAAACCATTTGTTATGGAACTGATGAAAGTTTGTAATATCAGGTTCTTCAAACAGTTCCTTTTACTGCTGTGTATTAGCCAGATGGCAAATGGACTGTTCCGATTGATAGCGGCAATAGGCAGGAGCCCAATTGTTGCAAACACATTTGGGTCTGCTGCTTTAGTTGTTGTTTTCGTTCTAGGTGGCTTTATCTTATCTCGAGGTGAATCATTTATACAGATGCATCGTTATCATTTATTTTTTGTTAACTTCTTTTAGATTTGATGGTAAAAAATGCCCCTTTTGTTACCAGACAATATGAAGAAATGGTTGTTGTGGGGGTATTGGCTCTCACCGATGACATATGGAATGAATGCCTTGGCCATCAACGAATTTCTTGGAAAAAGTTGGAGACATGTAAGCATCATTTTTTTACTGAGATGAAGGGTTAGTACATGAGAAAAAAAAATTAACAAAGAAAAATGTTAGCTAAAATGTACGTGTGTACAACATTTGGATTATAGGTTCCTGCCAACTCCACAGAACCATTAGGAGTTCTGGTCATGAAGTCTCGAGGGGTACTACCAGAAGCGCGCTGGTACTGGCTTGGAGTAGTAGCTTTACTTGGATTTATTCTTTTATTCAACTTCCTTTTCACCTTGGCACTTCAGTATCTTGATCGTAAGTACCAACTTCGACATTTTTCTTCTCATCATTGGAAATGCTCTAACAATCACACTAAATTTCCTGTAGCCATTGACAAGCCTCAGGCAGTAATGTCCAAAGAAGCCTTGGCAAAGAAACTTGCCAAGAAAACTGGAGACACCACTGAGCTTTCATTGACAAGAAATGAAAGTCAAGAGAATATGTCTGCCAATCGTAACAGGAAGCGAGGAATGGTTCTTCCTTTGAACCCCTCTCAATTACATTTAATGAAATCAGATATGCAGTTGACATGCCACAGGTATCTTTTCTGTTTTTGTAAAGGTTGCTGATGATGAGGGGCATATTTATTGAAGTGCTTGCTCGTTTCTTCTAGTGTGGAATGCATTTACATACTTGCTATGCATTCTTGTAGGAAATGAAAGCTGAAGGCATAACTGAGAATCGACTAGAACTTCTGAAGGGTGTGAGTGGTGCCTTTCGGCCTGGTGTCCTAACAGCCCTAATGGGTGTTAGTGGTGCAGGAAAGACTACTCTAATGGATGTCTTGGCCGGAAGGAAAACAGGTGGATATATCGAGGGAAACATCAACATATCTGGATATCCAAAAAATCAAGAAACATTTGCTCGCATATCCGGATATTGTGAACAAACAGATATACACTCTCCTCATGTCACGGTTTATGAGGCTTTGGTTTATTCAGCATGGCTCCGATTACCACCAGAGGTTGATTCCCCAACCAGAAAGGTATACTTTCAAACTATGTTTTTCTTATTGGGGCTTGAGGCAGATGATATAATCAATGTCAACCAAAAGCTAGGTTGCACATAATTTTCATTAATTTTCTTTCTATCAAGTCAAATCATTAACCATACTTATTGGTTGTAGATGTTCATTGAGGAAGTGATGGAGCTTGTGGAACTGACCTCAATAAAGGAAGCACTTGTTGGATTGCCCGGTGTGAATGGTCTTTCAACTGAGCAGCGTAAAAGGCTAACAATTGCAGTAGAGCTTGTTGCCAACCCCTCCATAATATTTATGGATGAGCCAACCTCTGGCCTTGATGCCAGGGCAGCAGCAATTGTAATGAGAACAGTGAGGAATACGGTGGACACTGGGCGAACTGTAGTCTGCACCATTCACCAGCCAAGCATTGACATATTTGATGCTTTCGATGAGGTTAGATACCTTTTTATGCTTAGGATTATACAAGTTGAGTATGTTGCTTGGTGTAAAAAGAACTGAGAAATTCACTATCCCACATTGCAGCTGTTTCTTTTGAAACGAGGAGGTGAGGAAATATATGTTGGGCCTTTAGGCCACCAATCTTCCGACTTGATCAACTATTTTGAGGTTAGGCTTAATACATACTCAGAAACTATACCATCTGAAAATGTTCTGCTCGACTGCTAACATAAAAAAGTTTTATTTCATCAAGGGAATTAGTGGAGTTTCTAAATTACGGGACAGTCACAATCCTGCAACTTGGATGTTGGAGGTTACTTCTGCAGGACAAGAAGAGGCTCTCGGGGTTAGTTTCAGTGACATATATAAGAACTCGGAACTATACAGGTAGGATTTCCGTAAAAGTTTGAACTTTTATTTATTAGCTTCTAGTGTAAATCTTATTAAACACTGAAGGATGACAAATTGAAATTGAATTCATGGAAAGCCAAACGATCATGTTTTTTTTGTTACACGTACGTTCAAGTTACTCATACCGTGTGTCGAATGTTTAGGAGCAATAAGGTCTTGATCAAGGAACTAAGTACTCCACCACCAAATTCAAGAGATTTGCACTTTTCTACAAAGTATTCTCAGTCTTTCTTCAACCAGTGTATAGCTTGCCTATGGAAACAGCATTGGTCTTACTGGCGAAACCCGTCATACAGTGCAGTGAGACTTTTGTACACTGCTATGATGGCTTTAGTATTTGGGACAATATTCTGGGGTCTTGGCTCCAAAAGGTACATAGATAGTGTTAATTACTTTCGAGATATTTCTATATATGTAAGGTATGTGACGAAATATGAAACCTAATGTGTTGAAACGGGGGAAATTCTTGCGAAATGCAGGAATAACCAACAAGATGTTCTTAATGCAATGGGTTCTATGTATTCTGCTGTTCTCTTCATTGGGGTACAAAATGCCTCATCAGTGCAGCCAGTTGTAGGTATTGAAAGGATAGTATTTTACAGAGAAAGGGCTGCTGGAATGTACTCAGCTATTCCATATGCCTTGGGACAGGTATGATACCAAGTTAAGTGAAGCTTGCTTTCGGCCAAGTGATTTCCAAACTTCCGCTTTTCTACTTATGTACTCCTCCCCTTGTTTCTGCCCTTTGAATCTCGTTTGATTTAGTCAATCCAAAGGGCTAGAAATAAAGGGAGTAGTGCTGGAGGAGAGAAGGGAACTGCAAATCCCTTCTGGAGGGCAGATGATCCTTTCCAATCTCTAATCATCCAACACTAATTCCAAATTTTATTGTAGATAATCATTGAGCTTCCATATACTTTGTTCCAAACTATCATCTATGGGCTTATAGTATACACCATGATCGGATTCGATTGGACGGTCAGCAAGTTCCTTTGGTATCTCTTCTTCATGTACTTCACCTTCTTATACTACACATTGTATGGTATGATGATTGTGGGCATTACTCCCAACACAACCATTGCTGCTGTAGCTTCCTCAGCCGTCTACCCCTTATGGAATGTTTTTTCCGGATTCGTCATTCCAAGAACAGTAAGTAACGCCTTAACACATTGTAAATGATCACTTTGCATATTCTTGTTTATTTGATTTAACATATCGTACCATGACTCAATATATTGGTTTTTGTGGCACAGAGAATTCCGATATGGTGGAGATGGTTCTACTGGGTGTGTCCGGTGTCGTGGACTTTGTACGGATTGCTTACTTCACAATTTGGAGGCATCAAGGATACGCTTGATTCGGGTGAAACTGTTGAAGATTTTATAAAGGATTATTTTGGCTACAGAGAAGGCTTTCTAGGTGTTGTTGCAATTGTCCATGTTGGGATTTCAGTGCTCTTCGGATTCATCTTTGCCTTGTCAATCAAGGCATTCAACTTCCAGAAGAGATGAAAACAAACCTTACACATGTACATGTGAATAAATTGAAGGACTTAATGATCTTTAGTTTTGCTCAGAGTCCACGAACATGTCCTACAAATTAATGGGTGACTGGAATTAACGTCCTTGGGTTTAGGGTTTAGGGTTTAGGGTTGCTTCACACTTCTGTCGACATAAAAGATACATTTAATTTGGGTGAACCAGCTGTGCCTGCTTATGGAAGACTACTTAAGGAGTTAGTTTGGGTATAGAAAAGGAGTTTGTGGGGGTGGAGTTTGAATTTTTGTGCTGTTTAAGGTTCATCTCTGCCTTCTCAGTCAAGGCATATTTAAATTAATTATTCTCCAGTTAAAAATGTAAGATATGAATCCAATAAACCACCGGAACCATCTTCCGACTACCCTTTTTTCACAGGTGTTATCTTCCAACTACCATATCACCACAAGGACTATTAATTCAATTAAGCCTAAAAGTAGCACTTAGTATTATGCGATTAGAACATGTAATTCCAAAAAAAATTGAGAATGCTATGCAAATAAATACCTATGATTCTCTTCAGATGATAGCAAGCAGAGAGCGTTCGTCACTCCGAGTACCATTCATGCAGCATTGTTATTCAAAAATATTATTGGGTTGTTGAATTTATTAAAAAAAAAAGAAAATGAAAAAATACGTAGAAGAGTACACGATGATTTTATTACACAGTGGTAACAACTCCCATTTTATTTTGTACATATAATGGGAGGCTTGATTTTGTCTATCCCTCACGTAGGAGAAAACTAACATAGTAAGATTCCATTTGAGAATGCTTTTATAGGAAACACTTCCACTTGGTAAATTCCTCATGTCTCAAACAATTAAAAATTTGAAAAAATCAAAGCACTTGGAAGTCTTTAAGAAGCACCTAGTAAGTGCTTGATTGTACTACAAAGCGCTTTTAGAACCCAAAATTTTTTTTTCGGCCAAACGGTTTCAAAAGCGATTTCTGCCACTATACAGGTGCATTTCCAAAAAGCATGTAATCAGCTTAACAAAGAGAAAAACTTACACGACAATGGTCTCCTGTGGCAATTAAATGAAAACATGTGAAAGTTTTTGTCCGTATGCCCTAGCTTCATTTGCGCAAGTACACCACATGCCATTTAAGTTGTTCTCAAAAAGGCTTACAAGCAACAATATAAACGCAAGATAACCAATCATCATGTCGTTCGAAAGTGGGCGCCCATTAGAATAATGATGGTAAGTCATGAACAAGTACTTCCACTGTAAATCCCATCAACTATTTAAAATCATATCAAGGACCGTCTACACGAGTTAAATCAGAGTTATACAGGGAAACAAATTAGGTTACCGACTTGGCCGCCGCATATATTACAGTTGGAACTCGAAAATCTCAGTAAAACTACAATGGAAAGTTTCAATTAGACAAACACATGATGTAGAGGGGAAAAAGGGTAAAGCATTCGACATTATCTCAAGCTTTCAAGTCATCCAAGAAGCTCTGCAACTCCCTCAAACCTTCAGCCGAAAAACTCCTCTGCACTCTTGAGCGAGGGGCAATCAAATTAGGCGGAGGCTGTGGTTGGAAGCAGACGACGACAGCAGCTAAGTTATCCCCGCTCTTCCTCTTCAAAGCCTCATCAACCAAATCCTTGCTACACGCGGCTGGGTCATTGTGCTCCTGAAGCCTCCGACGAGCAAAATCCACAGCATTTTGACTCCTGAACACATCCCAGATCCCATCACAACCAATGATAAGGAATTCGTCCTCCTCTGTCAACTTTGCGGTCATAAGTTCCGGCTCTGCACTGAGTGGCCCACCCTCCCTGGCCTTCATCCCTTCCATATGCCAGTCTCCCAAGGCACGAGCAACGTTAAGTTGCCCATTAAGGTAACCATCATACACATGTCCTCCAGATGCCTCGATCCGTTTCTTCTCTTTGCTGCAAATTGGTTTGTGATCTCTTGACATTTCAATTGCTTTTCCACGGCGGCACAGCACTGCTCGACAATCTCCAGCATTTGCAACCACCAACAACCTAGCAATAGAAACTAAGATCAACATATGACTAATCAATGACACACATCTCATGGTACATCTGTAATATTTCAGGACATACATAAACGGGTTAACCAGAGAAGACACAGATCGAACCACAATAAATCAACTAAACACGTATGCTTGACCTTAGGTAAACACTAAACAGGTCAACTGGATCATAGTTACCCACACCCATAAGAAGAAACTAATCTCAACAGAATATTACTAGGCAGCCTAAACTTTCCAAGTACTCTAATTAAGTCCGAGCTTGCTTCAGAAGGCAGTAGACCAACAATTACAATTTAGGGTAACAACCCAATTATGCTTTTAGTGTCATTGATCTACATTGACACAAGGCAACAATTCATTCAAGGAATAAAAAAAAGGGAAACAAACAACAAACAACCACCACCGAGCCTTATCCCACTAAGCAGGGTCGGCTGTCTGAACAGTCATGATACATGCATCAATAGTTCAAAGGTAGAGAAAACGAAAAAAAAAAAAATCCAACCTTCCAATGAGAAGAGCTGTCAATGCAGTGGTACCAGAAGCAAGTTTGGCATCCAAGGTGCAAGCTTCCTCAAAGGCAGTGTCAGTATGCAGAAATGCTGAAGTGACAACCCGTTCAATATCTGTAGGGAAGTCTTCATTCTCCAAAATGAACTTCGGCAGATGGGATGAAGCAAAATCAGCCGCATGCTTTCCTCCATGTCCATCAAACACCTGAGCAACCAATACGGTAGGAATGTTCAATTAGGAAATTCTAAGGATATATTAGCTAGCCAGTGCAACACATATAGATTATTGTTCGAAACATATGTTCTAACATCAACAACCACCACAAAAATCTACCTCTAAAGAACTGAGGCATATAGTCAACAAATGAAAACTAAACAATTCAGAGTAGAATGTTATTGCACAATGTGTTAGGAAATTCGTAAGAACATGTGGAAAGACGATAAATACCCCATAGAAGGCGCTCGGGCCATCGGTATGATCCTTGAGCCCATAATCGTCAATAAAATTGTCCACGCAGACATACACATCTTCCATGTTTGGACGAGACCCAATGTCAGCCCATGCTCCGGAGCGGACAATTGGAATGAAATTAGATTCAAAGTCCTCTGCTTGAACTCCCGGCTCAACTTTGATCTCTTTTGTTTTCGTCTTCATCTGCAAAATCCAATTCACACATTCAACAATTGCACCAAGACCAGAGAATTTATATTCGACAATTTAATCGCTACGAAAACAGATCTTCAATACTCCGAAAAACAGAACTACTCATAGCAAGTAAGCTTAATTAATCAAAATTCTAGAAGCCATTTCTACATAATTAACAGCTTAAACATACAATTAATCACTCATCATCTAAGAAACCCAAATGGAAAAATGCAGAAGCAGAGGAATGAATGAAACATACAAGAGACGGGTGTCGAACGAGTGATTTCTTGCACGGCACTGGAACGCCATTGGCGGGGCTAAAGCCACACTGCCAGTAGGCCGCAGCGGTCGAAAGAGGGTTCGGAGGCCGACCCTCGCTTGAGCTTCCATTCTCCACTTTACTTCCCTCCATAGTTCTCAACCATCAACATCCTCTGCCCCCACCAACCCAACAAAATTCGGAAAATTTTCTCGGAATGCGACTCACTGAGTCGGTCACTGACTTTGTTCTGCTGAAAGATTGGGGCTTTAGCTGAAATGGCAATCTGGGTCTGTGCTGAATTAAAAAAAAAAAAAAAAAGGGGTTTTTGGTTGAGAAATGATTTGGGATTATTGAAGGGATGACAAATCAGTCGAATCGAATGAGAATTGCCGTTTCGGAGACGAAAAGGGATTCAATTTGGTTTCACAATTGGATTTGGGGATTTAGGGTTTTGCAAGTGCAGACATTGAAAAAGATGGAATTTTTGTTTTCTGGGAAGTAAGTACAAGAACAGGGCTTTAGAGAAAGAGAGAGAATTAGGGTTTTAGAGAGTGACGAAATCGCAGTGAAAGCGATGCACTGTGAGAGATTTTGGGCGATCTACACGAAGACACTGGTTTCTGCTGAATGCTGAGATCTAACTGGTCGGTTTCTTAGGGGGAGGTGAAACGGCGTCGTACACGGAGCAACAACTGCGTTTTGTTGACTTTGGGGCTTGATAAAGTCACATGCTTTGGTGGTGTTCAAAAAAAATAAAAAAATAAAAAAATAAAGTCACATGCTTTGGTCATTTTCGAAAAATTAGATATTTTTGAGAAATAAATATCTAAAGTAATTTAATTAAAGAAGTGAAGAAATATTAACAGCAAGGTAAGGACTAAAGTGTCAGGATGTTGAATTCATGGCGTCCTATTAATAACTACCTAATTTTTGGTGAGATTCTGTGTACCTACCTTCAGCATTTTTTCTGTCCTTTACAAAGGGGATCTTTTGATAGTTTTGACACGGCAGTCTATATTTTTTAGAGCAAAAAAAACTCACAGATGCATTTTAGTCTTTCATTAGTCATCATTGTACAATTCATCAGCATAAAAAATTAGATATAAGATGTATCGTATGAAATACGAGTCTCAAATTCATCACTACTAATCCACCCTGTGGTGGTTATACCTACCTTGAGCTTTCAAGTACTTGAAAAGTAAAAATTAAGGTCAACTTCGCCACTTTTAGTTATCAATTGTTGGTAAATATGTTGGCTGGCAAGCACGACAAACAACAAAATGAGCACGTTAATTTGACAAACTTTAATTTGACAAGAGAAGTGTTATTGTCACTCTAAAAATCTTATTCTACATTCTTCATAAGTGTATTTTTCTTTCCAAATATAGAAAGTTTGGAGTGTAAAATATGATTTTTTGAGTACCAATGACAATACCCATTTGACAATTAATCAGTAATGTTATGTAGATTAAATTTATAGACTAAATGATGTGTTATTAATAAAAAATAAGTACGTTAATCAATATTTAAGTAATAACTTAATCATCAACTTTTATGTCATTTAGTTTACAAAATTTAGCCCGTATATTTAGTCACCCTAGCATTACTCATCAAGAAAACTAGGAAGGCAACATTCTTTGAAAGCGTCCACTTTGAAGAGGAACTGCAAAAGAAGTAAATAGTGACCATTACAATAGACACTATGCACAAAACCACCTGCGAAGTTACTAATTGCATTAGAGGAGGCTACACCATTTTCATCGTAAGACACGAACATAAAACACAAGCCCCCATAAGCAAATCTAATTGGAGCAAAAGATGCACTGATGACTAAAAACGTATCGCGCAAAAATCAACTTTCAAGGACCAAATTAAAAAAACTAGAATTCATTATCTTGAAGTTTATTTTAGCCAGAAGCTCCTTGCTTTTGACATGATTTTTTGCAGACGCTAAAATACTAGTATAATTTGTTGATTGTTTTAACAATATGAATGATGAAAAGATTAAACAAATTTGGGGTCATATGATAGTGAAAATTAATTGGTAGCATTTGCTGTAATTGGTCCAAAGTCAAAATAAGGTAGAGCACTCAGCTCTCCAACCAAATACCAATGACTCTTCCGATGAGACTTTTTGGATGCTTCCTAGTACTCGCTATTTCAATGTTTCAAATGTTAGATCTTTGTTTACCGAGTACGCTGGCTTAATTGTCGGTAGCTTCTGCTGAAAGTGAGAGGCTTTGCATGAGTAGTTTGTTGATTCTTTTGGGTGTATCTGCAGAAAAAGAGTATGACAATATGTATACTCTCTCTCTAACTGATGAACAGGAAACTCAATCCTACACGCGTCTCCAAGAGAAAAATCGTGGTAGAAATAGACGGCAAGCAACTATTGGTTCGTGATAGAGGGTCCAACCCACGTGGAGGGTCACCGTTGAGGTATTTGTCTGGTACTACCAATTACTCCATCTCGTTTAACCAAAACCCATCTTCCTCTTTCGATATATACATGCTCCTTCTCCTTGTTTCATTGCTAAAATTCAGAAGGAATAGAGAAAAGAGAGAGAGAGAGAAGGAGTGAGAGGAGAGAGAGAGATGATTGTGACAAACTTCAACTGCTGCCTCAATCCGCCACCTTCAAATCAAAACCATGGTTCAAGCCCTTCTTTGCCCTCAAAGCAAAATCAAGTACCTGCATGGTATGTGTAATCAAACCCCAATCTCATGCCTCGTATTTGTATGACCAATTGAAAGTTATTTATGCATGAGGAGGTCATTTGGTGTTTAATCATGTCAAATATTTGCGTGTAGGAACAAAAATGATCATGGATCATGGGCTAAACGATGTGTTGTAGGCATGAGTTGCATCATGATCGGATTCGAAATGGGCAGCGTAGTAAGTAACCAAACCCATGAGGCCATTGCTAAAGTTATGCCTTTGCCGTTGGAAATAGCAACGTCAAGTGACCAGAGGGTCGCAAAATGGAGTGAAAAAAGAATGTGCCCACAGTGGAGCCCTAACTCACTGGAGACCATCGTGCCGGAGAATCTTCCAAGGCCGTCTGCTCGAAGAAGATGGGAAGCCGTCGGTTTTTCTAAGGATGCTCCGGCTGTTCAAATGGTTGTTAGAAAAGGTGGCAACTGCTTTGCTATGTAGATTTGCACTTTGATACATCATGTATATGCACCATATGTATAACCAAATACAGAATCAATGAAGATCACCAAATTATTTCTAGGCATTTTAGTCATTTTAATTATGTGTTGGATTCTTGTTCTTGTTGGATCTAAATTGGAAACTTCGCAGTACAACATTGTGTAGCAGTACATGCAGTACAAATTTTGGAAGTCTTTTGGAAGAAAAAAACAAAAACACGAAAAAGAGAAAAATAATTAGGAATCAGAGGCGGCTCTCAAGGGGTCAGCTATTTTGCCTACGACCTCAAATGGTTTTTGTATGCGCATTCACTACAAGGGAATTTTCGGCTGTTAGGTCGTAGGTCAAGATTCAAACTCTGATGACCAAATATTTTTGTGCGTAAAATACACTGGATCGTAATAACATTTCATTCGAACATATTTTCTAGAAGACCATGACAGAAATACTATGTCTTAATTCAGTGTCATCATATAGTACAAACTGTCACTTCCTCTTCTCCGTATAGTTATGTTGCCGCCACGTCGAGCTCGCGAGTTCATAATTTTCTCTAAGTGAAAGAGTTCGACTCTCGTTATCATCTTTTTCAATTGAATGACTACCAAAAATGCACTTTGGGATCATTTATCCTGCTCAAGTATTAATTGAGCATGTTAAAGATTGTGAGAATTAGGGATGAGGATTTGGTCCTATAGTACATATATGGGAAGTATTTCTGTATTATTTGGTTTCTACTTTTATAAGTCAACATGTAATTACCTAGTTTAGCATATACTCATGTATATAAGTATGAGTTGTAAACCTTATTGAATCAATCAATCAAAACAATTGGTTGAAACCAAATTGGTTTTCTACATGGTACCAGAGAGAGAATCTTGGGATCGAAGAAAATATCAAACCCTAGCCGCTCACCATGGCAGAGAACAATGACAAACTCAAGCCCTCTGGTTCAACCGAGGCAACCACATATGATGTTAACCATTCTTATTACCTGCATCATTATGATCAGCCGAGGATGATGCTCATTTCTCAGCCGCTCACTCCAGATAACTACAACACATGGAGTAGGGCAATGATCGGTGCATTGAAGGCCAAAAACAAACTTCGTTGATGGAACCTTCAAGAAACCAGAACAGAAGGTCGCTATAGCAAACTTACATCAATGGGATCGATGCAACGACTTGGTTAAAACATGGTTGGTGAACTCAATATCATTAGAACTTTAGTCGAGTGTCATTTATTATGACCTTGCGTGCCAAGTTTGGGAAGACTTGAAAGAACATTTTGCCCAAACGAACAATATGTGGTTGTACCATATTGAGAGTGCAATTCATGATTGCATTCAAGGAAAAATAACTGTAAGTTCCTATTTCACCAAACTCAAGGCGTTGTGGGATGAGAGAGATGTTGTGATCAGCCTACCAGATTGCAACTACAACACTTTGCAACATGTGTTGGCATTTCAGCAAAATCAAAAGGCCATTAAGTTTCTCATGGGACTTAATGAAACATTCAGTGTAGTGAAGGATCAAATTCTATTGATGGATCCACTTTCCCCCGTCAACAAGGTATATTCCCTTATGCTACGACATGAGAAGTAGCACAACACCACTACCGGAAAGGCACCGGTTCAGGAGGTTGTTGCCTTTGCCACAAAAGTACCAGACTCTAGCAAGAAGAGTGCATATATGAAGTGTGCTCACTGCAACAAAAGCAATCACACCACTGAGTATTGTCGTGCTCATTTAAAGTGTGATTATTGTGGCTGGAAGGGTCATACAATGGATTATTGTCGGGAACTTAAAAGGGCCGATCCAGAACAACAAATAAGTCATTCTAAACAGGAGCGATCAAGAGGTAACAATGTTTCAAGTAACCTTGAAAGGCAAGAATTGACAAGCTCTTTTCCCTTCACGCCTAACCAATGCAAGCAAATCATGACCATGCTCAACAACAACAAAGCTAAAGTGAACAACGTTGGTAAAAATTCCTCTATGAATGATCTCTCAGGTAAAGCATTTTCTTTCCTCTATGAATGATCTCCTCACATACCTTGTTGGCCTCTTTTGTGTTTATTAGAAATAAGACAGTAAAACTGCCAGATGGTTCTTATACCGCTGTGACACATATAGGAACCATGAAATTTTCCACAGATTTTGTCTTACATGATGTTCTTTGCATCCCAACATTCCAACTCAACCTAATTTCCATCAGTAAACTTGCACATTAGTCCTTGTGTATCACCATTTTTCTAAGTTATTTTTGTGTGATTCAGGACCTTCATTCGGGGAAAATGATTGGGACGGAAACTAAACGCGAAGGCTTATATTTTTTGGACGACATCAACAGAAAAACAACCTCATCAACCTCTCATGTTGTCAAGAAAACATCACCACACCTTTGGCATCAACACCTAGGGCACCTCTCTAACCAAGCCATTCGACATACTTCACTTCCTAATAATGACATTAGTTCTTGTGTTTCCAATAATTGTTT